AACTCCCAACACCTCAACTTCGACCTCAACTTTCAATTGCCAGCAATACTTGAAGGAACGTCAAGGTATTTAGAAAAAAAAAAAAAAAAATTTTTTTCGTCAAAGAAAAAAAAGTTTCAATTTTTTTTTATCGTGAGAAAAAAAATCGAATTTTTTTACTGATTTACCATTTTTTTTTCAGATCTAAAATTGTATTTATAATACGGGTCGAATCAGGCTATGATCATAAATTGTCGGATAACATCATTATTGGGCAAATTTTTGTACAATAGTAATTTGGCTTAAACGGACAAATGATTGGCTAGACACGTGCTGCTTCACGGCATGTGCTAGCCAATCATTTGTCCATTTGAGCCAAATTACCATTATACAAAAATTTTTGCCCAATAATGTATACATATACTGTAAATAATAATAATTTACTTGTGGTTATAATTTGTTTTTTGATATGGACGAATAGATATTGGGATACTGATTTAAGCCATGCTTCCAGTTCTTCAATACTTATATTGGAAAGGTTTTCTGTCATTAAAACCGTAAACTCCGGGTTGCTACAACAAAAACACACGTTTTATAATAAAAAAAAAACCATCAGTACTTCTCTTCGCAATCAAAGAGAAACGTAACAACTCTTTTTCCAAAGTCAATAGCTTTGACAAAAAGATTTTCATCTTTTCTACAAAGGCAGTGGAGTGGAAATTCTGAAGAAAAAAGGTGGAAATTTGAACAAGAAGCTTATAATAAGAAAAAAATTATTCCTACCTTCATAATAAACGTGTATATATTAAAAAACTTTCCTGTCATTAGAACCGTAAACTCCGGGTTGCTACAACAAAACATGTGTTTTATAATAAAAAAAAAAAAAACTATTAGTACTTCTCTTCGTAGTCAAAGAAAAACATAACAACTCTTTTTCCAAAGTCAATAGCTTTGACAAAAAAATCTTCATCTTTTCTACAAGAGGCAGTGAAGTGGAAATTCTGAAGAAAAAAGGTAGAAATTTGAACAAGAAGCTTATAGTAAAAAAAAATTATTTCTACCTTCATAATAAATATGTATATATTAAAAAGCTTTCCTGTCATTAGAACCGTAAACTCCGGGTTGCTACAACAAAAACACGTGTTTTATAATAAAAAAAAAAACTATCAGTACTTCTCTTCACAGTCAAAGAGAAATGTAACAACTCTTTTTCCAAAGTCAATAGCTTTGACAAAAAGATATCCATCTTTTCTACAAGAGGCAGTGGAGTAAAAATCCTGAAAAAAAAAGGTGAAAATTTGAACAAGAAGCTTATAGTAAGAAAAAAATTATTCCTACCTTTATAATAAACGTGTATATATTAAAAAGTTTTCCTGTTATTAGAACCGTAAACTCTGAGTTGCTACAACAAAAACACACATTTTATAATAAAAAAAAAAACTATCAGTACTTCTCTTCACAGTCAAAAAGAAACGTAACAACTCTTTTTCCAAAGTC